AGGAAAAGAAAAGTTCAGCTGTCATCTTTGCTGTCCTTTCTGAGGGCTGCAATTTTCTTTGCCTTTGCTGCCTTTTTCCATCACTCACCTTCCACTGCGGATGGGCCAGGTGGGTGAAGACTTAGTACTGACCCACAGAGGCAGTTTGGCCAGGAGAATAGCTCCTACTGTAAGTGGCAGGAGCTGTGGGGGAGTGGGAGGATCCAGGGCTGACCTGGAGCTGGAAGCACCTTTGCCCTCATCTCCCCAGGCCTGTGGGTTAGATTAGCAAGAGAGAGTCAGAATTTTCCAGGACTAATGACACCTGACTTTGCATGAAAGTTGCTACTTGCAGGGCCACATGGCTACCCAGGAGAGGAGGACTCAAAGTCTGGCTGCATTTCTGGCCAGAGTTCTGATGGTTATCAAGGCTCCAGAGGGGCCCAGGCAGCCCAATGTCTGTGCCCAGAAAGGCTGGCCTTCCTGAAAACCACTAGGTTACCTACTGTGTTGACAAAAACCAAAAATGTTTTAACATACAGTGTCGATAATGATGCAGGGAAATAAGCACTCTATACAGTTTGGGAAAATAATCTGATAGCATTTTTTTAAATGAAAAACAGATGTATATTTTTAAAATAAAAAATAAATGCACATACATATCTTTTTGTCCAGCAATCCAACTTTGACAGAATCTATTCTATTGAAGAAACAAAATACTAACACATAACATTGTTTGAACAAGAATACTTATTATAACAATACTTATAGGAAAACAAAAAACTGGGAAAACCTAAATGTCCATCAGTAGGTAAAGAATTAAACTGTAGTATGGCCATCTAAGAAATACTGTGTAACTACTTACAAGCAGGAGATATTTGTTTAATTATTGATTTAAAAGGATTTGGTACAAGAGAAATATATATCATAATTTTGCTCAAATGAAAAAAAAAAACCTCCACCCTCTGTATGGGTTCATGTCAATATATTTTCAGATCATGGGGAAAAGTATGGAAGGATACACATTAGTCTGTTAACAGTGAAGGTGGCTTCATTTGTTTTGTTCTGTGTATCAATATATTGCTTTGATGATTACAATAAACACTTTATGTTTTAATTTGGGGAGAGGAATTTAATATAAATATTAATTTATTAAAAATTAATATGATATAAAGAGGGAGAATAGGAAACTGCTGAGAAATCTCCAAGGTGAATCTGGTCAGTTTTGGAATAACCTAGGGATTTCACATTGGGGAATGAAAGCCCGAGCTGGAGGGGTGCGGCTGCAGGGTCTGGGGGCATAATCAACGTGAAGCAGCTGACTTAATTTAAGGAGCTTCTCTAGAACATCCTATGAGAAGACCAGTGGTGGGGTGGAGTGTTAAGTAGCCTGCAGAAAGAGGAGTTTAAGCTGCTAGACTATGAAGAAAAACTTCCCCAAAGTATTGCAGGCCATAATGAGGTTTTCTGCTAGAGGTTATTTTGAAGAATTCAGCAAGACTGATTGGATTAAGCTGGTTGAGAGGCGGGAAGAAACAAAAATAATAGCTAGTAAGAGGCATGTAGCAGAAAACGCTTTATCCGTGTTATTTCATTTTATACAAAATGCAACCCAATGAGGTAGGTAGAATTATCTCCATTTTTACAGAGGAGGAAACAGGGTGATCGAGGGGTTAAGTAACCCACCTATGGTCATGCAGCTGGTAAACAGGTCTTTTGGCTCCTTAGTCCTCACTCTAAAGGCCATGCCCTTCCAGGGTAAGAATCTGGATGGGAATGTTAACCTCCTTTTCACCCCATGAGGTGCAAGTGGGGAGACTGCCAGAGCCCAGGCTGGGCAGGGCTGGGCTGGGTTTCATTATTCTAGCACTGGGGATTTCAGCTGAGATTGCCGGGGCCTCAGCATCAAGGAAAGGTGCCTGGGAGACGCTATTCTCCTTGAGAGAGAGGCGACAGCATATAGCATTACGAAGTTCCCTGATGCCTCGCCTGCAGTGACTTGAGGGGGCAAGACTTTCCAGGAGATGAACCCTGGGTCTTGCTGCAGCCACACAGCTGGCACCCTCACTGTCCCCCACCCCCCGCCACTTTATTTTCACAGTAGGAACAAGGGACTACGGAAGCAATGCTTTGGAGCAGAGGGAACATTTTCTCCGGTCCCATGGGACCAGGCAGCAGCCTGTTGGCGAGAGCGGACACCTCCAGGACCACCCCCAGCCTGGAGCTGCCAAGGGTGCAGAGCCTTACGTGTGCAGGGGAGTGGGAGAGGTTGGAGACTTTCCCAGAAGCAGCTCTGACAAGATCTGAAGGAGTTTAAGGAAGGGGAAAAGGAGATAGCCTTCACTGGTCTGCGACTCTGAGAGTCCTGAATGAAAACCAGTCCCAATTTCTTCTCTATCCTCCACCCCTCCTCTGAAAGTCTACCACCTCCAGCTTGAAGTTTCTTCATCATCTCCTTCCGTGTTTAAGATGATCGCCTCTGTCTCCCCTCCGCTGACTCTATTTCTGCATGTTTTCCCATTTTTCTCCGCGTCCCCATTTTTCAGGTCCTTGTTCCCTCGAATTCCCCCTCCTAAGGGCTCTGGAGCTGAAATGCTGTGTCTTGAATCTACTTGGGCAGGCAGTGCAGAAGAGGGAGCTTCTGCAAGCCCAACGAGTTCTCAAAGGCTCAAGAGCCGGCGCCGGTGGGCCACGTGGCAGTGGGCTGCGCAGGAGCTGGAGATGCTGCTGGCTGAGGTGGAGGTTGGTCTGACGATCTCCTTGGTGCCCGAAACCAAGCCTGTCCACCGGCCCCATCTGGGCAAGGAGTGCGCGCACCCTGGCTAGGATCTCCCGGAGTTGGAAACCGGACTTACTGCGTTGCTGCTTAAAAACAACATCAACTAACATACGGAGATGTCATCATGATTAAACAGCAAATTATAGTCGAAGACGGCACGATAATAATCTAAACAATCACTACAACAAGAAGAAATGTTTTCTAACGAGCCAGATGCAGCAGCCTGGGCTTCCGAAACTGGCGTCGGAGCGTTCCTGGGGCCCCCTCCACGCGCACGTGCTCGCGGTGCCCAGCCCCGGACAGGGCGGAGGAGCCCCCGACACGGCACCAAGCTTTCTCGAGGCACCTCCGGGACAATCAGGGGCAGGGCGGAGTCGAGGCGAGGAAGGATGTGGCGGTGGGGGAGGGGGGCTCTCTCTAGGGAGGCAGTTGGAGCCGCAGGAGAACCGCGTTCTTTGGAAAGAATCTCGTAGGAAGAGCTAGCGAGTCGCGTTCCCAATGCTCCCCGCCCCGTCGCCTCTGTCCCCTCCCTCGGCGTCGCCTCCTCCCAGTTCTCGGCGGAGACTGCAGTCTAGGTGGGGCACCCTCGCTGCTAGGGGAGGGGCATCCTCCAAGTGTCGCGGGAGTCCCCCTCCCGGCAGAGACTGGGGAGCACGGTGTGTGCGTTTCCCTTTGGCTAGCAAGGGGCCCAGCTGTGTGCACCAGTTCGCCCCCAGTTTTCCTTGGGAAAGGTACGGATAGGAGGCGGCGAGCTCTCCAGGCCAGAAACAACAGAAGACCCTCCCTCTATCTCTAGTTCTCCTCCCCCTCATTAAATAGATTCGTATTTAAAATAGGCTGAGACATTTTAATTTGAATTCCAGGGATTGAGCTCGGGTTAGCATCATCCTACTTACACTTGGACCGAAAATAACCACTGAAACGAAATGATCAAAACCAAACGCTATTTTCCAAAACAACCACCGTTCCCTGTGGGTGACCACTCTGCGCGGGCAGCGAGGATCTCCTTTGCTTTTGGACGAGAACGGGGGATCCACGGAGGAGGGGCTGCTTAGGGGGTGGCGGGTGAAACTACTCCCAGGAGCGCGCGCGCGTGCGTGAACTGGCCGCGGTAATATATGCTGCCATTAAGAATCCGGGCAGCTTTCAGCGCTCGGGGCGCCGGGACGCATGTGTTGCCGGAATTCAATCCGTGGGGGGAATGCAGATTGGGCTGCGACCTACTGGGTTTGATTTATGAACTGTTACTCTAGCGATTGTTTACACATTGCATTTCGGAGCCCCCGCGCACCCTCCGGGCGGCGGCCGGCTCGCTCGGCTGGCGCGGGAACCCGCAGCCTCCAAGGCCTCCCTCCACCTGCCCGCTCCCACCCGCCCCCCGCAGCTCACTCCCACCCTCACCTTCTCTTAGAAATCAGATTTGATTTCCTTGAACCCAGAGACGAACATTGGGGTCTCCCTCCCCCCAGTCTGCTCCAGCTTCTGCGGCCTTGGACCCCGGTCTCCTCTGCGCGTGTTTACTCTGGAATGTTTACTTCTCAGTAAGGCCATGCGGGGCCTATAAATAGGAAAGGTGGAAGCAGCTCTACTGCCGATCAATAGGGCCCCGTCTCCTCGCCATTTCAGCTGAGCTGTCTTATTAATTATGAAAGGATTCACCTGCTCCCTGCCAGGGACCACAGCCTCCCGGCCCCTTTGCTGGAGCCCTTAATGGCGGTTCGTTCGCAAGCTGCCTCCGGCCACCGCAGAGGAAAAGGCGAATCGTGGTCAGGGCTCGGCCTGCCCGGGCGGTGGTTAGGGCTCGACCCGCCTGGGGCGGGGTCGGCCTGTGTTGTCTCGCGCAGGCCCAGTTCCCCCCAAACCTCACCTAGAAAAGATCTCTTGCGTTTTTCCTTATCAAAAATAAAACTTTCTCTTCTTTAAGTAAACGGAATTTCGGAAAAGTGACAAAATGACTTCGTTGAGGCGGGTCTACTTGAAGGCAGTAGGTTATCAACTGGCTTGTGAACAGGTGCATTTATCATCTGGCATCCCGTGTCCCTGCAGGGAACCCCGAGAACTAGACCAAGAAAGCAGGCTTGGGGCAGGAAACAAACGACACCCCCGTTTCAAACAATAACTTTTATTTTATACTTCTCTATACTTTGTAGCAAATCTTTTTTTTTTTTGCTGAATTTAATTTATAATAAACTTTTTAAATTACATCTCTCTCTTTGTTTTAAAATCAAGGCTCTTTTATGTCAAAATCTTTTTTAACTATATTTTAGATTAACATTTAACATCCCCCCCCCTTGTGATCTATACCGTTGGATATTCAGGTATTACTGTATGTGTAACAGCTAAAACAAGAGGGAAAATAAAGGCAGTGGACTTGGAAAGATGCATCGACAACAGCAGGTAAAGCTTAACCTCTCAGTGACTTTAGCAACGATTCTTCTGGCAGCCGTTACCTATACACCCGAGATTTCCTCAATCCTTTCCCTCTCTCCCTCCTATCCTTAAAACACGAAGTCAACGATCTGTCCTTTCACTTTCCTCGAGGAGAAATGTGCAGTGGAAATGATCAAAACAAGATACTGTGGAAGAAAGACGTGAGCGTGAGTTATTCACCATATGCCTTCCTCGTGGACATCTCTCTTGAATTCATTCCCCTGGCCTTCTCCTCTCCTCTCTTTCCTAGTAGGAGGAGCCCATCATTTGTCATGTATTAACATGATTAATATAGTAGGTGGCCCAGGGCCGTTCCTGAGATTCTTGTGCCAAAAAATAAAAATTAAAAAAAAATGGGGTGGGTTGGCCGTTTTCCTTATTTTTTTGGGTGAAGACGGACTAAAGCTGAGGTCCGATTTTGGCTGTGCTTGCTTGCTCACTGATTGGTAACATTTGGCAAATAAAACACAAGAAATCGAACGAAATCAAAAGGAGAATCGGGATTTCCCACAATCCTATATGAGTGTTTTCAGCATCACAGAGAATCACAAAGTCCCCAAAGAACGAATGGATCTTCCTCTCGATGTCCGGGAGCATGGAGTGAGTGTGGGTGGGCGCGCGGGGGGAGGCGGCCCGCGCTCAGAAGGAAAGCCAAGTCGCTAAAGCTGCCGAGAGAGAGACCAGGAGCACGGGCAGCGCCGGGAGTGGGGACCCCGCCGCCCCGTTGCCGCTGCCGCAGAGTTCGAATAAGCTGCCTTGGATGTTGAGGTTTTTGGATTCTTTTCTCAGTTTATCCCACATATCTTTCGCCCCTTCTTGGCAATCCGTAAGGGCTGTGACCGTGCAGCTGTGGAAATCCTCCCAGTACCTGGCGAGGAACAGAACAAGACGGAAGAGGCAGGTTGACTTTGGGTTGGGGGGGACCCGGGCCTGCGCCCCTGCGCCACGCGCGTCGCGGCCTCGCCACCGCCCCTCCCCCACCTCCTCTCCACCGCCCCGGCGCCCGAGTTGCGCGAGGGGGGCCCTCGCCGGACCTCGGCCCGCCCAGGAAGCCGCCGTCCGGGGACGGAGGCCGCCCCCTTCGGCGTCTGGTTTCCCGCTCCCGCTCCCCGGCGGGGGGACCCGGGAGCCGGCGAGCACCGGCTGCGCCGCGCTGGCACCTCGGCCTGCGCAAACAGATTGCTCGTCCTCCTCGGGGAAAGCTAGGAAAACAGTGCTAAGCCGTGCAAGCTGCCGCCCATTAATGCCTCTTAGCTCGCAAGATGGGTTACTTGCTCTGAGCGCAGCCCTCCCCTCTTGGCTTCTCACTCTCTCCTCCCCCTCGTCCCTTCTGGCTCCCCCCCCCATGCTGCGGTACTCTCTCGCCTTCGCCCTCACTCTCCCCCCTCCCTTCCTTTTGTTTCCCGTTCTCCGATTTTCCCATCCTTCCTTCCTTCTTTGTCTTCCTCCTTTTCCCTCCCCTCGGTTTTCCTCTATTCAGCTCCTCACTTCCTCTTCCTCTGCCTCTTCCCCTTCCTCCCCGGCCCTCCGTGACCCCTGGCCTTGCTCTCCACAGTCCTCCGGCTCCGATTCGGTTCGGAGACGCCTGCCTGCCTCTCCCCTCCCCGGGTCGGTGAGTGTCAGTACCCTGGGGCCAGTCCGCAGCCGCCTCCTGCTTTCGCAAACCCCGAGGCGCCCGGCCCCGAGCGCTCGGGTCCTCCTCTTCCCCCGCTCCGGAGCCTTTCATGGGCTTGGACCCCACGAATCTCCTTCCTACGGCCTCCGGTGTAGCCACAGCCCCCCAGGCCGGGACTCCGGTGCCGCCGCGGTGCCCGCCGCGGCCACCCTTCCTGGGACCCCGCTCCCGGTGCTCGCTACCCGCTTCTTCCCCGAGCCCGGCGCCTTCTTCCTCGCCGCTTCCTCCTCCTCAAGGGCTCAGCTCCTAGCCCCGCCCCCACAACCTTCAACCAACCTGTCCTTTTTAATTGTCCCCCTTTCTTCTGGAAACCCAAAATAGATCCCGAGACTAAATATAATTCCAACCCGTGATCGATTCCTGGGGCGCTGTCTCCTTTCGGTGCTGGGTCGATCTGTGCGTCTCGGTTAACTCCGGCCTGGCTCCCACTTGGCCCTGGCCTTTAGCGCCAGGTCACTAGCGACCGCCCTCTGCGCAATGGGGTTGTATTTTCTCCTGTCTCTCCCTTCTGCTCGCTAGCCTGGACTGTAAGTATGTTGAAGGCAAGCACCATGTTTGATTTTTCCGTGTTTCCACTCCCACTCCATCCCCTGGCTAATAGCAAAGATATCAATGCTTGTTGGATTGCCTTGAGCTCTGGCTCTTTCCTAATGACCTTTATGAGTCTCTTAATTTATGAGGACTGCGGAGCCTGGACCACAGGGCTTCCAGGTCCCTCAGTTCGTAATAAATAGCAAGATTTAGAGAAACTAAGAGGAGCAAGGACAGCTCTCTGCTGTAATTGCATGTCCCAAAGGATATTTAAATCTCTCCTTTCTTTATGTATGCCCAGATGGGGACAGGACCCTCTTGGAAGAGGAATATGGTGGATCCAGTGGCAAATATCCACATGGAACTGAGAGGTGGTGGGCTTCATCAGAGTGTTGAACAACCAGTGCCACTAATGAAGTGAGACCAGACCCCAGCACGGATCCTTCTCACTTCCATTCTCCCAGACCAAGTCCTGCTAAAAAATTAAAATGGCTTGGAATAACCAAATTCTGGCAAATAATGGAAGACTGAGGAACTGATCTATATTTAACCTTTCATCCAGATTTATAGATATACTCTTAACTATCATCAGGCATTCAAGACTAAAGTAGGTGGGCATGTAACCCATATCCCACCTTTTGTCTCTTTTTGGATAGGAAGTACAAGCCACCTAGCAGCTGTGACTGTTGGGGGACACCAGGGTATTTAGGAAAGTGTGTGGCAAAATTGACCCCCATTTAATTACTCAGAATTTAAACAAATAAACACCTCCCCTCCCCAGGAATTAGAGAGAGGACAAAGACTTTACAGTATAAAAAAAGATGGTACAGAAAATGGTTTCTCCAACCTATAGGGAACAGGGAACACCTCTTGTCTTGGCTTTTTTGGAAGGACCATTATTGGGTGAAGGGTGGGAGTTACAGCTCTTTCTGAAAAATAAAGTAAAATAAAATGTGTGTGTGAGTTTATGTTTGTATGTGTTGCAGAGGATGGAGGTACTTCTAAGGACTGCAGCAGGTAAAATGTTGCTGCTCTACCACTGCAGGGCTCTCTGCTAGTAACTTCCTTTGCCAGTGGGAGCTGTGCTTTCCAGTCAAGATCTGGGAAAAGCCACCCACCGTACCTGGCCATGAACTCCTTCCTAGCCCTTAGCTGCCTTGGCCTGGGGATACCACGCAGATGCAGAAAGGAAGGGGATGGTCAAGGAGGATGGCTATCCTAAACCTCTAATCTGCCATAAACTAAGCAGATATGGTCACCGGATGCCCAGGACTTACTTTCCTTGGGCAAAATCATTGTCACAAAAGAAAATATTCTTTCAGTCTCTCTCTAAAGAGGAAGAGAGGTCCACACTCCCTTGCCTACATCCCAATGATCTTGGTGTGTACTGGAAGGGGGTTTTATCAGGGGAAATGGACAAAACAAGAGAGTGACTTTTCCTTTATGCAAACCTAGTATTTCCTAAAAAGTTCCTCAAACCAAAACCAACTGTTTTTCGGAGAGTACCCAGCAGTCCACTCATGCACGCAGAAAAAAAGAATGTCGAAGGCTGCCTCAAAGTAGAGCTAGGAACTGCTAGCAGCTCTCCAGGCTCCTTGCTCTGGGTTCCAGCGCGTTGAGCGCTGCGCGGCTCTGTGGGAGCTGGTGGGGCTGCGCAGGGCTGAGACTGGCCATCTCATCTTCTGCCCATCTCAGGCCAGGGGATCCCGTTGGGTAGTGCAGACCCTGGCCAAGGTCTGAGGACGAGCCAGCACGGATTCGCGCTGGCGGGGAATTCAGGGCTCAGGCCGGGAGGCGAGGCCCTCTCCGACCTCAGCAGCGCCCCCCAGAACCGAAACCTAGTAGGCCAAAGAGAACACTTACGTGCACACAGTCTTGATGTTCGTCTTGTCGTCCAGGCCCTGCGGGTAGTTGGCCATGCTGTCGCCCAGCTTGAGCAAACAGTCCGAAAAGCCCTTAAAGACCGCATCGCACTTGCCCGCTGCTCTCACGGCCTGCACCAGGTACGCTGCGGGGAGGAGGGGACACCGGTCAGCATCGCCGAGACCCTGCCCCTAAAGCCTCGAGGCCCACCAGCCCCGTCGAGCCGCGTCCACTAGCGCCCAGCCTCGTGGGACGCCTGTGTTAAAGGTGAATGAAAGATGTGGCCCAAGAATGACTGACCCGCCCCCAACTACAGTCCGGTGCCTACCGTCAGGAGGGTGAGCGTGTTCGGAAGGGGGCGGTGAGTCCATTCCTTTCCTGTGGCTCCCTCCCGCATCTCACTCTGCATCTTTTTCTGTTTCCCTCGCCCCCTCTTCTCACCTCCCCCGTCTTTTTTATTTCTCCCTTCTCCTCACTCCCTCCTTCTTTTCCCAACACTTCCCCAGCAAGTCCGTCCTGGCTCTTGCAGTGCAATCTTGCATTTCTGAGGCGGCACAGGGGGTCACGACAGCGCAGTTCGGGGGGCGAGGAAGGGGTGGTGAGGCGGCGGCGCGTAGGGCCACGCCGCTGCATCCCAGGCCACTACGTTGGAGAAAGCGCGCGGTTCTTGGTGGGTGCTCAGCAAACACTGCTGAGTAAATAACTAAAGTCCCTGGAAGCCAGCAGCAGCCACCGAAGTGGACTGTTTCATTATAAAACTGATGGCCTTCCGTAGAATGTGTGTTCCGAGGGAGATCCTCGAACGCACCCTCCCAACCCCACTGGAGAGGGAGCAGCCTCGGGGTCCGGAGACTTGGCGGGGATGGCGAGTGGTCCGGGCAGTCAGGGCCCGGGTGTTTGCGCGGGTGACCCCGAATGATCTCCGCCGAGGCCAAATCCACAAGCCTCTGTCTGCGGCTGAGCTCCTCACACCCCCGGGAAAACCGGCCACCGCTCCCACTAGCAGCGGGTGGGACCTTTTCTATCAAGGCCCCAACCCTGAGGGACACAGGTGGCAGTCGCCCCGGGCTCCAGGCCTCTAGTTCTGGGTTCCCTCCGGAGCGGGGGGAGCCGGGGTAGCTGCCTGAGCCTTGGGAGGAGAGGAGGAGAGCGAGGAGGTAACCCAAGCAGCACCTAAGCCCTGGCTCCTGGCCTCCGGGCGGTCAATCCCCAAGGCGCCGGACTGCCATTGCCAAGGCCATTTCTCTCCACCCCAAAGCCGACGAAATGGCTAAACGTTCTGTGGCTCTTGGCCAGAAGCGCGCCGGGGGCCAGGAGGGGCGCCAAAGCGTTGATCCGCGCGGCTGGGTCTGGGGGAGCAGAGGGAAAGGGCGAATCTTAGAATCGAAATCGGCCTCCAGTGCCCACGACCCTGACCGCCGGCCCTCTTCCTGGGCAGTGTTCTGGGCGCCACGGATTGCGTGGGGATGTCTCCGGAGAGGACTTTATACCTCACTGCCCCCCGCCTCCCCAGCCGCTGGGCCCTGAGAGCCGGGCCAGACGCAGCCCAGAGGAAGGTGACCGAACCTGCAGCAGCCTCCGAGAGCGCCCCGTTTGCAAATTGCTGCAGGAAGAGCGAGGCGGGCCTTGCGCTTTCTAATCCGGAACGGGAAGCGCCGGGGAAGGGAAGGGACTAAGGTTAACTTCGACCTCCGCTCGGGCAGAGACGTAAACCTTCATAAATCTCCCTCCCTCCACCCCCGAGAAATACTAAAAGGCCTTGCGACTGCAATATCTAATGCACTACTGAGATGGAATAAACGAATCTTTGTTCCACTAGAAAGCAGTCCCAGTGAAATGAACCCATCACGTCCTCCTCTGTAATGCTTGCCACAAATGCTGTTTTGCAGCCTCGAAACGGGATAAAATACAGTCCATCCTACCTTCTCCCACCCAACTCCCGTCTCTCCTTACCCTTTACCTCCACCCCCAAAACTCAGTGGCGAAAAAGTAGCCCCTAAGATGCACTGACTATATTTTAAAGGGGAATCGGGGCTCGCTGGGGGCGGGAAGCACTCCGTCACGTTATCTTTTCGGGAGAAGCTGGAAGAGAAGACCCTCCACACCGCGCATGTGTGAGTGTGTGCGTGTGTAAAATAAGAAGTCGTGAAATTTTCTGTTTTTTTTTTTTCCCAACTGTAACTGCTTCATCTCTAGTTCGCTGTGGGAGGACCGGGGCTGGCGCGCGGGACACGTTTTGAGGCTCATGCGTCTGAGCAGGTCACAGCCCGCGCGACCCTCGCTGTCCTCCCTGAACCCGGCTTCAGCGAGGCTCGGGCGGGCGACCCGGGCTCCCTCCCTGTCCTCTCCGGTGTCCGCGTCCTGTGCCTTTTCCATCCGTTCATTCATTCGTTCGACCTCTCATTCATTTCAAACTTCCTCCCGCGTGTCTTCATTTGTGTTCACCACCCTCTCCATCTCCCCGTCCCTTCCCAACCCCCACTTTTGTTGCCAAATGTCAATGATTTGGGACGGCTCCCAGCCATGAATTAAAGATTGAGGCTCTGGTTCGGGAAAGGGCAGACATTCGGGAACAAATATGCTCAATTTCAATCCCACAGCCAACAAATTGGTCATTTTCCGGCCGAGGTTAATGTGTTCCAAGCGTATCCCGCAAGCACAAACGGTATTTTTTTTAACCCCTCCAAAGTAAGGTTATATCCCTCCAGGAAAACAGAACCCCAAACCTGCTCCAATGAAAATCCCTATATCAAAAATAACCACTGTCTCCTGCTCTCTAAAAATTTGCAGACTTGATTGCAAAATGCCACATTCACTTATTTCCAACATTTAAGGGATTTGCTGCAATTAGCATTTTTAATTTGTTGAGTGTCTTTGCACTAATGTCAAAGATTCAAAAGAACCACAAATATCAAGTCATTGCTTAGAATTAAAGGAAAACGCCAACATCTTGCACATAGTCTAAAATCCCTGTAATGTTCATGCAAAAAAATACACAAAATCATGTTAAATGCATAAAAACCCACTGCAGAGAATCCATTTTTAATAGATAACTCCAAACCCTGTTTCTTCCACATTTCTCATGAAGAAAAATATACATTTTCTGTTGCCCCATTCCCTAAAGCACCCTCCTACCCAAATACTGCAAGGGTTTGTCTGTAAAGAATGCTACGGTCTGAAATGGTAGGAGGCAACAATTCCCTCAGTCTCCAGAAAACCCTTTGAAGAGTTTCTATTTTTTTCTCTTGTCCATTCTATTAATAATCTACTTCACTTTCACTTTTAGGTCAGGTTAATTAGTGCTCCAACCTGCATTGAAGAAGTGGGTTTTCTAGTGCTGCCTTCCAACACATCTTCCTCATTCTGGATGGAAAATGTGAACTTTTAAAAGCCCCCAAACAGTGTAACTACGACTCAACATTCCTTAACATAAAATGAGGACTAAATAAATCCGTCATAATTACCCCCAAACAAAAATAACAAACCCCCCATATGGCATATTGCAAACACTTCTTAACCCTTTCCTTTATATAAAATACAGATACCTATGTGGGAAGGAACAGGCAAATATTCATAGAATAGTATATCCACGTATATTTGGCTGAATTCAACCTCCTCAATGATAAGCCTATTAAAATATGTACTTCGGGGTTCCCTATCGTTCTCAATTTGCTCCACAGCCAGGTCTGCGGTGCCCGGTACAAACGCTGCAGCTAGGATATGGGGGTAGGGGGGCGGGCGAATGACAAAGTTCTAAATGCAGCAGTCTGAGCCCCGAAATATCTTTGCTTTCTGCACATAAACTTTCCGTTCTAGCTGCCTAGCCATCTTGTCCCTGCACTCACCTTTCGACCCTTCAAAATAATACCTTGCAGTATCGCAGGGGCCAATGCATTGCCCCAGAGCTCCTGAAACCTGCTCTAACCCGAGAAAGAGAAGCAAAAATGGACGTGCGCTTTGGAATAAAAAAAGGGGGGAACCCCCCCTTGAAAGCGGCCAGCTGCATACATATCCTGGCGAACGTTTGGAGTCTCTCTCTCTCTCTCTCTCCTCTCTTTTTAAGAAAAACCAACCCGGGACGCCCGAGTCCCTAGGAGCCTCTGCCCCCACCCTTGGGGTTTGCCGGCTTCTCCGCACCCCCGGGCAGCCGCGGGCCAGTCGGTGCCCCTCCGCGCCTCCGGCCGGCCGGCTACTGCCTGCCGCCAGCCGCCAGCCTGACCGGGCGGCCACTTACCTATTTGCACCGCGAGGATCAGTGAAATATATCTGCCGTTCAACTTAAGTCCCATCCTACGTTTAGTCAAACCATTTGCGACCGCAGACCTTTAAATAGTTAGTTTAGAGAACGCGGGGGAAAGCTGAAAAATAGGCATTGCCAACAAGTTCCAAGAGCGACGGAGACTTTATGCACGGGGAAGGCAGAGGGAGGAGAGAAAGAGAGGGAGCTAGGAAGAGAGAGAGAGAAAGAGAGAGAGGCTGAGAGAGAGAGAGGGGGGGAAGAGCTGGGAATGGTTCACTCCATTAGGAGGGGGCGGAGGAAGTACAGCCTCACGCCCACGAGCAGGCCTGACGTGGGGGATGACACGGAATGATTTTTTTTTTTTTTAAATAAAGACACCTTGGTAGAGATCGCCATTTATAGTCATCAGAAGCTGGAATTAATCAGATAACTGCGATTAATGTGCAATCCAAACGAATTCTTGCCTCCCAGGGGTGACCACTTCCCCGTCCCTGCAGCCACCCCCGCCTCTTCGCGGTTCCTGGGCCCCCCCAACCCCGCCCCCTCCTGGCGCAGAACAGGGGCTCCCTCTCCCCTCCCCGCCTGGAGCCGGGGAGTCCTGGCGCGCCCACTCGATTGTTTCAACTTGCTCCCCCTCCTCCATCAGCTCAACGGAGAATCCAGCCCCCTCTCCCTACGTTGCAGTGGGGTTTAAAGGAGCGAGCAAGGGAAAGGGAAAACAGCTAAAGCAGCTCTATTAATTCGACCCCCCCCCCCCCAGCGTCCTGTCCCCTGCACTTGCCTACCCTCTTTCTCTCCAACCCAGCAGCTGAGCTCTGGGCGCAGCCTAGAGCGCGTGAGCACACACTCACGCACACACACGCTCACTCCCACGAGCCGAGCGCCCCCTTGCCCGCCTGCTCACACCGCACGGGAGCGCGCGCGCACACCCAGGCCGCGGGGGTCTAGTCTGCACACGTGGGGCCGCTGCAATCTACACCGTGTCCCCTCTGTGAATTTCACCACTTCGGACGCCCCAGCCGGCGAGAGATGGGTTCAGGAGGCACAGCGACACCTGTTTCGGGGGACAGGAGAGCACGGAGAAACGAGCCTCTGCAAAGATGATTTTCGGATACTAGAGATTTTGCTAACTCAGTTTAGTTTTAAACAGAGCTTTAGGAAATTTCCTAGGCCATCGATAGTATGAGGAGTTCTTTCTGATCCTGATGCGCTTCTGGGGGTTATTTCTTGGGCCACACACACACGTACACATACGCACACACGTAGATCACGTACGCACACGCACACCCGCATCCACATACACCTGCACTGTCTTTTGATGCTCGGGCACAAATCCTGTGTAGACGCATCCTACTCTGCAACGAAGTGGTTCTGTAGCTGCGTCTGTGCTCGGTGCAAGGTGCTAACGACGACAGCTTGAGTTCATGAAAAATAGGGCTGTTTCTTTTCTGAAGGCCGTTAGGCTTTGGTTTCTTTCGCTTCTGCCCGAAAAGATGACTAAATCCCAGTTTTTTAAATCAAAAGCTAAAGCCAACTTTAAGTCCCCGAAGATAGGGTGGAAAAAAAAAAAAAAGGAAAACTTCCCCCCGAAATCTTTAAAAAAATACACGAGAAAAGATCAAGATATTAAATAAACAGTAGAAATGCAAACGGATTAAGGAGATATCAAATCAAATTTACTTCCATCAGGCAGCGTGCCATTTGCGCTCCCATCTCCCGGTCCCCACACTCGCTCAGCCATTTGAAGGAGCAGAGTCAGAAAAATGGGCAAAAGCAGAGGGGTGGGGCATGCTATGGAGAGTGAGGGGCTGAAGGGGAGCGCGGGGGTCCTGCAGGCAGTACTTTGTGACACGGTGCCTTTGCACAGGGTGGCTGAGTCCCGGCGTCCCGCGGGAGCCGCAGACTCAGAGGTGTGGGCACGGGCCCCGGCCCGGGGGGCGGAGCCGCGTAGCTCCACCCCGGAGACGCCACCACCGGGGGGCCCGCCTTTCCAGCGTTCAGGGGCTCTGAGGCAGCCCCGGTGTTTCCTTTCCTGGTGCTCAGAGGATCCTGAAAGGGCCGAAAGCTTAGGCAGGCAGAGGGCGGGGCGGGGGCCGGTGGCGAGAGGGGGGTGTCCTTCGGACCCGCCCCCGGAGCCCTCCAATAGCAGGGTGGGAGGTTGGTACGAGGGGCGGGGCCTCGGGGGAGAGGCAGCAGGCCCTGCCCACAATCCGCCCCGCCCCTCGGGGTCCCGCGCTCAGCCTGCCCAGTCTCGCTCTCCCGCCCGCTGCTCCTGAGGCGCCGGCGTCTCTCTCAGACTTTTGCAGAGACGCTGCTGGGGGCCGTTTGAGATTTTTGTCCTTAACGTTCTTGCCTTACTCCTGCTTACCCACCCATCCCGGATCTTCCAAAACCTCGTTTTCTGACGATGCCTGGGATTTACCCCGTCCCAGCCTCTAGTCAGCCCGAACTTGGGGCGTTGGGGGTGTGAGAGGAGGCAGCGTTAAAGGGCTAAATAATGCAGAGTGAAGCGGGGTGCAGGAGAGGCGCAGCCCGCCGACCCGCGCGCGTGCGCACAGCTGCCCGCGTAGGGGCTCGGGGGCAGGCCCTCGGCGGTGTCACCCGCCGCGCGGCGCGGCGCCACCCCTGAACCCCCGCTGGCCTTCCCCTCTCCGCTTTCCTTCCCTCGAGTTCCGGCCTCCCTCGCACGCGTGGGTCGCTTTGAAAGTGAAGAAGTGAGGGAGTAGAGTCAGTACTACATAAAAACGTTGACAGCAGATGCTAACGGTGTTTTTTGTTTTTGTTTTTAAACGCTTTTAAAATTGCAGATCGTTTTGCAGTTAGGGCTCTGTGCGAGGTTCCGCGGTTGCCAGTGCAAGCTATTTGGGAACGTTGGGGACAATACTGCGGTTGAAGGCGGCACTGGACAACATTTCTTTCTTTAATCCGATCAGTCCACCCCACATCAGCTTTGAGGTGAAGGAACAGCGAAGGAGAGCAGGGAAACCCAGGCCTTGTGTTGTGGGTGTTGGCATGACCGTGATCTCTCCCCACGATTCTCTAGATGTCAGTTTCCTGATCTGAAAAACGAACATGGGACGTGATCTCCAAGATGTTTTTCACCTTTGACTTATGTGAACCAGAGATTTTCTAGAATACCGTTGATGGGGTTGGGAGTGGGGAGGTGCATACAAAGAATAAAGTCCATGCAAGTGTGCTTGTTTTAGGCCAGCTTCTGGCAAAGGGCATGTTTCCGTTAGATAAGCAATTTCTTTTAAAGCTAAAGAAACAAATACTGTGAAGGATGGGCGGGAGAAAGCCATTGGTGCTGTTCGGGTCTGCGTCTCAAATTGAGCCAAAGGTACCCCTGAAAGTAGGTTGCATAATTAAGGCATAAATATGTAAAACTTTTTATCCCTAAAACTGCCAGAAAGAGACCATGTCTAATTTTAAGCCTGGTTGGCATCAACTTCCTCCCTCGGTTCAAGTTTGCTGCCGCCCCAGCCTCAGCAAGTGGGCATGCATATGTTACACACACACACACACACACACACACACACACACACACCAGACCCTGTGCTCCATGTTTCCGCATTGGCAACAGGGCAAAGCATTGAGTCAGTCCATCCCCCAACTCTCTCCACCATAAAGTCCATCATAAGTGGACTTTCCAGAAGCTGCCGTTTCAATAAACATCCTTTGGAAATTATCTGCAAGAAGCAGTTGTCAGGGCCACTAGAAAATTCTACCTCTTTTTGGTCAGAAAGAATCCACTACTATATTAAAATGGATTGGACTGGCATTACCTCTCTCTCATTAATGTAGTCTGTCATTTTTTATACTTTTGTTAAAAAGAAGACTGCAGATCCAAAGCGCAGTTACTAACCCCCAGGACAGCAAACCAAGACTTAATTGCAATTCAATCTCTCTAGGAGTGGAATTTTAAAGTAAATCAATCTGGAATTTTCTGGTCAGCAACAATTAGGTAATCTATCGCTTGGGTCCTCTCCATCCTTCCCTGCACTACACCACCAAAGGCTGAGGAGGTAATCTGCATGATAAGACCCCTGCCCTTCCCTCTGTAAAGGGAAGGGGAATTTGCCAGAAACAATCCTTGCTTTTCTTTTTGCTAATAACTTCTTGCCCCACCCTCCTTCCTCTATAATCCTTCAATTTTATACAACTCCTCAGAGCATCCCTAAACTAGCTAGATGGGATGCTACTTGATTCATGCTTTATTCATTGCATGATCATAAAGCCAATTAGATCTTCAAATGTACTCAGTTGAATTTTGTTTTCTAACACCTTCAACTAAACCCTTTGATGTAAAGTATATAGCTCTTTTTTTTAAAATGAGAACAATTAGGGGATCCTGAGTAGTTCAGTCAGTTAAGCTTCCGACTTCAGCTCAGGTCATGATCCGTGAGTTTGAGCCTCTAGTCCAGCTCTCTGCTGACACCTCAGAGCCTGGAGCCTGCTTCAGATTCTGTGTCTCCTTCTCTCTCTGCCCTTCCCACATCACAGTTTGTATGTCTCTCTCTTTCTCTCAAAAATAAAAAAAACATTAAAAAAAAATTTAAGTGAGAACAACTAATGCTTACCTGGCCAGGGAGACAGCATGATCATGAAGATGGTTTTCCTAAGGTGAGACTTATCCATTGCACTCTGGATGTGCTGACCCCTGCAACGTCCCCAGATGTGCAAAACTGCATAATCTGTGGTAGTGGGGGACTGTGTTTGTTTTTCCCTTGGAAAATAAAAAGAGAAAATGAGAACTGTACCATGTTTAAGCAGTCATATAAATTAGGAGGGGAATGGATTTTTTGTAGAGCTACGTAGGTAGAGGTTCCAATAAAAATCCATTTTGGGAGTTTTGGATCTCTCTCTGGCACTTGGTAAGGTGATTTTTCACTCTTTTTCTTTAAGTTTATTTATTTATTTTGAGAGAGAGAGGACACCAGTAGGGGAGGGGCAGAGAGAGAAGGGGAGAGAATCACAAGCAGACCCCCTGCTCAGTGCAGAGCCAATACAAGGCTCATCCCACTACCTGTGAGGTCATGACCTGAGCCGGGATCAAGAGTTGGTTGCTTAACTAACTGCTTAACTAACTTACAGGTTTTCATTCTGTAAGCACTGCTTCAAAATTAGTTTAAACTTCTGGCTTTTACATATATTGGTGACTGACAAATGATTTATGCAGAAATTTGAATTCTGGGACCAAATACTAGATTTGAAATATATTGATGTGATTAGCTTTCTATTTAAAACTAAATATTTCATTAAAAAATTAACATTGTTATGAAATATACACACAGAACAATGCACAGACCAAAGATGCCCAGGGAATTGATTTATCACACAGTTAACGTTTATGTGGTTCCCACTCACATTGAAACAGTCAGAACAGATATGCCAACTAAATGCAACCTTTTTTTAGATAAGATTCTAAAAAGGCCAGGGAATTGTTGGACAGTTAACAAAATTTCATTGTGGTCTGTGAATTAGACATTAGTTTGTACCAATGTTGATTACCTGATTGTAGAGTTGTATGCTGATTATAGAGAAGGATGTCATTGGTTTTTGTTTGTTGATTGGTTGGTTTTGGGGTTTTTTCTTGAGTGAGGAGAACATACACTGGAGTATTGAGGGGTAATGAGACATTATAGCTGCAGTCTGTTTTCAAAAGCCTCAGAAAAGGAATGGCAAAAATGGAGAGAGATAAAAGCAATGGAACAAACACAGTAAAATGTTAGTAACTGGGAATCTTTGGGTGAAGGGGTACTGGAGTTCTTTGTACTGTCTTCTCAATTTTTCTTTAAGTTAGTCATTTCAAAATAATTATTTACCAAAAAAATCTATTTCAGGTGAATTGAGGACTTAAATGTTGAAAACAAAGTCTTAAAACAGTAAGTGAAATATGTAGATATTTTAAAACCTTAAATAAAAGTATGAAAAGTATGAAAAGTATGAAAAGCATGAACTGGAAAAGGTTGATAAATTTGAGCATAATAAATGAAACTTTTATTCATAAATTAACACTTTAAATAAATAAAAGAGCAAATTATAAACTGTCAGAAAACATGAGTATCAAGAACTAAAGGACTCAAACCAAATTTTTAAAAGTGTGTTATGTACACATACACAGGCACACACACACAATCTCTAAAATGAAAATGGGCAAAATACATGAAGAAGCATTTCATAGATGAGGAAGCATATGTGATTTATTCCAGGAATGCAAGCAAACTCGTTTAACTTTGAAAAATCTCAGTGTCTCCACATCTTTCCAGTCCTGAGGGTTTGAAAGATTACAGGCCCATCTAACTGTGGTGAATCTCATGTTTCTGATGACCACACCCATACCATAAAATCACCATAGTACCACTTCAGAAACAAGTTGTGTTCTTCTCAACGCACCTCATTAGGAGTTAACACCATTCCATCATAGTTGATGTTAGTCTGGATTACCTGGTTGTGTTGGTGTCTGCCAGGTTTTACTTCCTGAAATCCACCATTTCCAAGTCCTCCTTTGTAACTGATTAACATTTTGTAGGGAAGTATTTTAAGATTATGTTTATTTCCTAGTCCTTGTCATACCTCCACACAATGGTCTTCGCATCCATTGGCTCTCCTGTCTAAATCATGCATCTCTATGGTGGTTGCCAAATGGTGCTTCTCTTTGTCATTTCTTCTAAATTTATTTGGCATTCTACTGTAAAAAGAGTTTTCTTTTTTCCTATCTCTCTTTTCTTCCTTCCTTCCTTCCTTCCTTCCTTCCTTCCTTCCTTCCTTCCTTCCTTCCTTCCTTCCTTCCTTCCTTTAAATCAGTGTGAACTCATGGATTCCTATTTTATTTGATGTGCTATAATTCCTTCTTCTTATTTTAATGCCCAAATTGTTCCCTTGTTAGCCAGTGGGAGCCATTTCAAGCTGATTTTTGTGTCTTTTCAGTGTATCCTAATCATTCATTGAGAATTCTTATGTTCTGAGACAAAAAGGTATTCTAGGCTTGTCATGTCCTCACCTAGCCCTGGAATCTGTCAGTTTTTCCAAAAGTTTGCTTTTTTTAAAATTTCAAAATGAGATCTAGGCGCTGGTAGTAGTTGTTGTTGCTAGAGTGTGGTTGCTTCTAAGTTTCTCTGAGAAGATTGAAGTGAGGAATATGTGTGTGTACTCTATCTCCACATACATACCACACACACACATTTCTATTTCTATATATGTATAGTCTGTACAAACATATTACATAACTATGATATAGAACTATGAGTTTATATTGATACTTCCAATATTAATCCAATACACTTTCCATATGTAACGGAACTAATGTGAGTTCACTCCCTAATGAGCTACAGATAGACTACCCCAGGTGGGACTGTCACACAAAGGAAACTGTATTTACAATAAATAGGAGATCACAGGGAGTAACTTCCAAAGCCATAACTCCCCAGTTGGGGTGGCCTGAGTAGGTTTCTTGTATTTAGGTCTAGGATACATATTCAGAAAAGGGAGTTCTGTCATCACATGTAGAAGTGGGCATAAGGTCACCCTTGCCTACTTAGGAAACATGCTTATACATGCATTGTATGTTATGTTAATGAGGTTTGACCTCCTTGGGTGGAGATCTTAACATTATAATGAGGCATAACTGTCCAACACTCCGTGGTCCATCTGTGCAGGCCTGAAATGATGGTGAAGCTCAAACTGGTTTAGGCCACATGGAAAGCATCCTGCTGTTTTCTTCTAAAAGATAAGGTTAGCATTCCTATGAAGAAGGGAAGGTCAGTGGAGTGTTGCTGGTGAATTTTAATCTCATTCACCCAATGGGGTGTGGTTTCACATATGTGTAAGTAAACAGAGAATCTGGACTCCCATTATCCTCAGCATGTTATTTTGTTGCTCAATTTACTCAGTTGTTCAGTCTAACCAATCTTTAACCACATCGTCTATCTCCTCCCTCTGCCTGCTCCCATTGCCCCATGTCCTCAGTGGTTCCCCACTGTTCAGCCCCTCATTCTCAGCAGGAAGCCCTGTCAGCGCATGCGCCAGGCCCCTTGCTTCCTCACATGGGTCCATGCGTTCATCCTCTAGGCTTTGGGCCAGCACCTCTTTGTGGCTCCTCAGGTCTATTGTCCCATGTTCTCCACCACGTGTGATTTCTCCATGCTGGGAAGGAAAGTGAAAAGAAGATGGGCTGCCTTGATTTTATATGTGTTGAGGAAGAGATCTAATTTCATGTTTTTCCATATTGTGAGTCATATTTGCCACCAGCTTCACTTATTGACAAGCCTTTTCCCTCCCAGTGCTATTCTAACTGGTCTCTGCACATACCTGAGTTCTGCACAGGGAAGGATCTGGTTCTCTACTCTTTCACTTGTCTGTATGTCTATTCCAAGGTCAGCACCACACTGTTTAATAACTATTCCTTCAGGAAAAGTCCTGATATTGGATAGGCAAGCATTCCTTTCTGCCATTCTTTTTCAGAAGTATCTTGGTTAATCATGGCCATTTTAGAGTATTTTATTAAGTGGATACTTGTTTAGAATTATTATTTCTCTTTGATGAGTTGAATATTTACATCATTATATAACAATCCCCTCTATATCTAATAATCTTTTTGTTTCAAGTCTGTTTTATAGGATATCAATATAATTATGCCAGATTTATTTTTTCAAGATATGTCATTTTCTTCATGTTTTACTTTTAACCTTGGCTTGTTCTTATGTTTTAGGTGTATCTCTCTCTCTCTCTTTTTCTTACTACGTTTTAATTTGAATTCCATTTAGTTAACATGTACTGCTATATTATTTTCAGGTGTACAGTGTAGTGATTCAACACATCCATACAACACCTGGTGCTCATCACAAGTGTCCATCACCATCACCATCACCTATTTCATCCATCCCTCTACCCACCTTCCCTCTGGTTATATAGAGTCTTATTAATTTTTTAAATGTTTGTTTATTTTTGAGAGAGAAAGAGAGAGAACAAGGAGGGGAGGGGCAGAGAGGGATCCAAAGCCACTAGATGCTGACAGTAGAGAGCCCCATGTAGAGTTGGAGCTCATGGACTGTGAGATCATGACTTGTGCTGAAGTCGGCCTACTCAACAGACTGAGCCAGCCAGATATCCCTAAATAGATTTTTTAAAGCCTAACTTCACAATATTTATCTTTTAACTAGTGTGTTTCATCCAATACATTAATTGTAATTAGTGACATCTTTAGGTTTGTACTATTTTTATATTTCAGTTTATCTCATTTTCAAATTATATTTCTTTTTAGTTATTTCTTTAATATTCTGAATTGACATAGATATGTTCTCCAAATAAAGCAAGACATTTAGTCCATTCTCTGATCCTTTGGTTTTCTCTCATTCCTAACACTATTATATTGATACTATATAGGCTTTTAAAAATATTTTATTTTTCAGTTCATGAAAAGTTCCAAAAATAGTACAGAGAGTTCTTTATTTTTATTATTATTTTTTTATTTTTGGGAGAGTGCAAGTGGGGGAGGGTCAGAGAGAGAGAGGACAGAGGATCTGAAGCAGGTTCTGCACTGAGAGGCTGACAGCAGCGAGCCTGATGTGGGGCTGGAGCTCGTGAACTGTGAGATCATGACCTGAACCAAAGTCCTATGCTCATCTAACTGAGCCACCCAGATAATCCTGTACAGAGAGTTCTCATATACCCTCACCCAGTTTCCCCTAAGGGTGACATCTTATATAATTATACTACATTATGAAAACCA